TTAGTAAATGTGTATAATATGTTTATAATTGTTATTTGAGGTTTATTCATAATTTCATCATAATAGTAATACTGTAATACTCGAGATTAACGATGTCGTTCAAGAAAGTTATATTATAGAGGGCGCTACTCATAAATTAGAGCCAGAGCCGTAGATAGAGAGAGTTTGGCCAACTCGGTTTCACAAGATTCGATATACGCGCGTGTGATTGGGTGGATCGCAATCACATGACTTACACCGGCCATGTTGTCACCAAAACAAAACATTAAAGCTATACGCGCGCATGCGCCTGGGCTGTTTGGTAAAAACATGGCGTCCATATGCGCCAAGTTGGCCAAACTCTCTCTATCTACGGCTCTGATTAGAGCTTGTCAGAATAATCTCAGCAGAGTAAGTCTGTACTATAGAGGGCGCTGTTTAAGAGTTTGTTATCGAGTTTAATGTTTATCTTTGTTTAAAACTTTTCAATAACTGGAATAAGACATGTAGATATGATAAGACATGTTGATTCTATGTGCTTACATAAGACAACTGTATTTTCTTTCTTTTCCAGGAAGAATATACACAGTTGTTGAATATATATGCTATGTTATACTGTACTATACCATTTTATACAGTAGAACACTATGCTATAACTGCATTGTAAGACAGCATAATAAAGTGATTTGATGCTATACACCTGCGGTATTTATGGTCATAGTTCATTGCAACAACGTGTTTACGATCTCATTCTCCGAATTTCAACAATCCCCAACAATACTTTTCTGACATACAGGGCCCAACGTTTTCTCGCCCCTGGACCCCATGACTCGTCGTTACGCCACTGGCGGATCCAGATGTTCGCAACCTTCGCCAGTGGCGAAGATCAGGTTGAAATAAAGTAATAAAAGAAAGTATATAGAAAGTGAATGCTTGGCCAAGTGTTTTACTACTAGGATAAATGCAGTGCAAGTAGAATCTTTACACGTTGGACTGAAGAAAGACGACAGTAAAACATCTTCGTATTATTAAAAGCAAGCATATTGTGACATTTATTAAGGTCTATATTTTCCAAATAAAAATATTATAGTTTCTCGTCCTCTAGCGCATCCATTTTCTCTGCCTCACCATTTTTTTTATTTCCTTTTTTAGTTCCTTTGTGACCTTAAGGTCACAAGGAACTAATGGGATAATTCGAACATGAAATGTATGTGTGTGTGTGTGTGTGTGTGTGTGTGTGTGAGCAGCGGGTTTGTGAACGAATAGGCTCCTAAACGGTGCCTCACGGTGGGTATAATGTTTTCCTCATAGTAACTGGTGGACATGTAGTTGTGCAAGAATTGTTTGTTTTTTATGTTAGATGAGAAATGTAGGACGTACGCGATAAAACATATACCCCCTACCACCATTTTTTAGTCGTTTTTAGGAGAAAAATTCGATATGCGCATGCGTCGGAAAAACTTTGCCGACATTATGTTTTTCATCGCGAGCTCCATAATGCATACCTTGTTGGTGTAGTTGACCAATTGTTTACGGGATCGTCGGTAGGGTTAGGTCACTGTCGTGTTAATGTAGCAGGTGCACGTGTTATTAAAAATGAAAAAAGTGATCTAATTTTGTTTTCTATCGCGAGAGTATACAGTTTACACTAGAGAGTTGTCTGTTAATTGTTTATGCGAACGTCTAGGCCCTAGCGTGAACTTAGGTAGTTGTAGACTACTGCTTGTCGTCTAGTGGGTGTAACGTGTGTTTTAGTAAAAATTAACGTGATCTGAACAACGTTTTACATTATAGTATTGAATCGAATGTGCTTACCTACCTAAAGTCTTTTACACACGATGAACACGGCAATTGACGTTGCTGTTGCCGTTGGTGTGCAATACACTATAACTCCCTGGCAATACGTACAAAACACGACGACAGCAGCATTCAGTCAGTCTTGTTAAAATAAATAATATATTGGTCTACCACAAGACTACCGTACCATACAGATCAATAAACAATAATCCGCGACAAAATAAAAATCAAGAGTATTTGTAATGATTGAATATGTAGCATAAATGCATTCATATAAACACAACTTATTATTCTGACCAGACTGACCTCCATTACTGGAATTAGACCCTAGAGGTCTGTAGCTTGATAAACCACAGAGCAAAAATTGACAGTTTTGGCGGCAATAGTTTTATAGACTATTTACAATCGTTGAAGTGAAATTCCTCTAGGCCTATATATAAAAAAAAAACGAAAAGAAAGTGGTGCAGAAAAAAACTAATTGTGCACAGTTACTGTACTTTAAACACAGAAAAACGTACGTGTCGTCAGTATTATGAAGTTTTTTGTTTACGACTGCAGTGTAATTTTACTGATTTACAACATAGACATGTCATGTATACTTGAATATGTAAAGTAAATGAGTATTCCGTATTCTTAACTCTCTGCAAACTCGAAAATAAATCATTGACCGAGGCACGTTTTATCTACCACCATACAGCGCATGCGTGACATGTAGTATGCAGAGCAGTGGTTGTAGTTATTGTGATAACTATTCTACCTATCACGCATGCGTGTCACTAAGCAGATTTTGAACGAAGAACGAAAGAAAATTTGTTGTCAAACCATGGAGGAGATATGTCAATCAATGAAGACTATTTTAGTAGATGATAAATAGATAAGTTTGACTTCTAAAACCGCCAACTTTGGTTCTGTGGTTTGACCAGTCAAGTTCAAAACAGTGGCAAATCTGCCAAATTGTGAAAAAATAAAAATGAAGGACATTTTGTGGTGTAACCCAACACCACCCCAGCCCTACCATGGTTTTGATTAAGGTGGGAGCTTTTTAGGACATGACAGCTGGATACCCGGAAATGTTAATCATACTTCAAAATTTGTTATCTCAAATTGACGTCCCGATTCCCGATGTCAAAAACACCAAAAAATAGGTACGTCCCTAATAAAAAAAAAAAAAAATAATAATAATAATTGCAAGAAGTATCCACTATTTGCCAGTGATGAAGGGAATATTAGTCCGTGGTTCCTCGGGTATAATCCCATCTCCACGAACGCAAAACTGTCCGATTTCGAGGGGGGGGGGGGGTCTCTTATACACAACCCCGGGATTCCCTTGGCCTAGTGTATGAACAGACGGAAATGACGATCGTTTTGCAAGGTGGTTTTCACCTACGATTCAATAGCCTATCAAAACAATATTCGGGCGAAGAAATCAGTCTTGGTCTTGCATGATGTAACGAGTTATTTTTAGCAGCCGATCTCTGCGGAAACACGTGAGTCTTCACGCTGTGAATTAACGATCCGATCAGCCCACTGGGCAAGTCTTTTCAGGGACGGACCGCGGTGTTGTCTATGTTTACTTTAGCCGCAGTTGGCGAGCTGCTCATTTTTAGCGTCAGTAACCAACAAAGTAATCTACAAGAATGGGCTTTGTGTTTTAATTTATGGCGACCAATATCAGTTTTAAGCAATTTTAAGAGTTTCAAGTCGGCAGAATTCGGAGACAATTCCTTTATTTTTTGAGCATTTGTTAAATTTATCGACCTAGGCAAGGCCTGCTGGGCCGACTTGCCCAATCCTCAGACCCTGGGACATCACCCGGGGAAATTCGTGTACGCGAAGTTGGGCGTAAAGTCGGTGTGGGATTCTACCCGGGGAACTATGGTAATATTTTATAACAGTAGTGACTGAGAAAGTTTTCTCTATTGTTGAAAAAACAAACCCAAGCTTCGAGCTATAGCATCACAACAAAAACTTAAAGCGCTTTAATGACACACAAGCTGAAAATGTTGAACAGAGATTATAAGTGTCATTCGAATAAATATTGACGTTATGACTCCAATGAGATCCAGCGAAACAAGCAATATACCGTGCCCTTCATGGTGAAGTCTGTAAGCCTACTGATTAAAATGTAACTTGAATAGTTTTTCATGGTTGTCCCGTAAGAAAATAATGTATAGAATTTCTAAAGAAACCATTCTATAAAATTTCTACAGCTTTTCTAT